AGAACAGCGAACCTTCCGGACAATAAACGTGAAGGAGAATTCAAGGACATTATTCGGTTCACATAACAACGTATTCAGAAGAGGGTATGCTTCTTGTAAGTGAGAATCTCTTCCATTCTTGCTACAGGCAAAACTTCCTAATTTGGTTTCATAACAGCCCAGACGCCGGGAAAAATAAGTAAAGGTGAGGAATATGTCAACAATTAGAAAAAGGAGATTCATCTGCAGAGAGGCGAGCCCTTTGAACATTTTGCATAGATTCAGAATCCACCACAGACTAAGGCGAGATGTTCAGGGGTGGAGCCATGTTCAAAAACTCATATATGTTTGACGTATTCACTATTTAACGCATGCGTTAGTGTGCGGATCCAGACTGGTAATATCTTAACAATCAGCATAATGGGTTCTGACTCCTCTCATATCCAAAATGTGTTGATGGCATGATTACAAGATTTTTGTCAATTATTGAATGGTATAATGATTTTGGAGGATGTTTCTTCGATGTTATTTTGTTCTTGATTCGTTTTTTTCACTAGATTAGCATGTATGTACATAATGCTGCATAATCTCAGCGTGTCATACCCCTAGGCGAAGCACATCGGCTCTCAATGGATTCAGTGTCGGTGAATGCGACAACGTGTTGACTTTTTTTCGTTTACAAGAATATTACTTTCCACCCCACACAAACGGAAATTAAATACGGCACGTTAGCCTTACAAAAATTTACATCAAAATAAAATGCATCGAACGCAGAGTTTCACAAACAAGCCATTTCCTCTAACGATTAAACCTTGTTCGAAAACACAAGTCTTCTAGAGTCACGTATACAACGCGCATGACAGTGCATAGCGCGCGCTCGTTTAAGCCAGGATCCATAACCGCGACTGCTGTAGGACTGACGTGCCGTACAAAATTTTCGTTTCCACTCCTACGTGACTGTGAAACTGTATGAGCGTAGCTTTTTATTCCATCAGAAAAGGCATGATATAAGATTAGCCTATTTCTTGGAGGCAGTACAAGTTAGCATTGATTGTAGTGGAATTATGATTTTCTAGCTAGGATCGTAACTTTCAAACCTGGTAAACAGCTTTTGAAACATGCGAGAGCTGTTGTAATCCACTCCTCGCGAGTTTCAGCGAACAGTATAATTTTGTCATTTTTCTGAAAAATTTTTCGTCAGTGAGTCAGTTATAACCTACAGAAATAAAGAGAGTTATGATAAGAAAACTAGTGTGAACAGCGAATATGAGAAGAACTTAAACAACAAAATTAGACAAACCCTACGTGTGAACGGTTGCGTCGCGGTTTCGCGCTACAGCACGTTATTTTGGGGTGTCTTGGCACTGCGGGAAGGCCTTGATGACAGAAGATATCCTCTTTCATGACCCTGCCTATTGGCGGTTGCGTAGCGCGTTCGAACACGTTATTTTAAGGTGATTACTAATTGTAGGATGTACCTTTCGACAATCAATGAGCTGGTAAACTATTGTTTGGTAATGTATGGCTCTTTTCCTGCATGTTTCTTCGTTAATGCTTCTTCCAAGACCATTGATGGGTAGTTACCCTCCCCTAGTGAATGGCTAGTGAATACTGTTATGTGTTTCTATTTTCATTGCATGCTTCTTGGTTTATGTTTCTTCTGAGACAACTGCAGAGTAACGACCTTCACTGATAGAGTGTTGAACCCTAATTTAAGGGCATGTCAACTTCTGTACAATTGAAGACCAATCTTGATTAGGTGTGAGGACTACATCTTCATTGTGCTGTCTGCATATCTTTATCAAGCAAGTGAATGATAAAAAACCGAAGAAAATGGCAACAGCAAGAAGGTAAAGGACCATGAGAAAAATTATGAACTGGTAAAGNAGTTTTAATGATACTGGTTAGGAATTCTGTTTTTGTGCACAAGTGTAAGGTGAAATGCGAGACAAGCGGAATATTTTACAGAGCTATAAGCCGCAACTTTACTGTTGTTTTTTTTTTATTTTGCACAAAATCAACACTCTTAGCCAGTTGTAATGGGAAGTTCTGCTGAGAAACCTGATTTTTTTGTTGGAGCTTTGGCTTTTCACTGCTGTTTTTCTCTTCATTCAATAACTTTCGCTTGCTGCATATAGATATGCGAGCAGTGCAGTGATCATGAAGTTTCAAAACCTAGTTAAGAGCGCCTCGCGCCCTCATGCCTTGTCTTTGTTTCATTCTAAGCCTAATCAGCTTCCCTGTTTTCTGCACAGTTGTTGGCGATTACACACAACGTGTGGATGTTATTGAGACCTCTCTTTGGCTTGAATGTCGTCATCCATAGCCCCTTTCGATTGAATCTCAATCGTACAAACGTTGGCACACCCCTAAACCAGGGTTCAACACTCTATTAGTAAAGGTCATTACTCTGCAGTTGTCTTAGAAGAAACAAAAACCAAGAAGCGTGCAATGAAAATAGAAACACATAACAGTGTTCACTTGCCACTCACTAGGGTAGGGTAACTACCGATCAATGGTCTTGGAAGAAACATAAACGGGGAAACAAACAAGAAAAGAGACATACATTACCAAACTATAGTTTAACAACCCACTGACCGTAGAAGGTTACTTCTTACGGTCAGTAATTACCTTAGAATATGTGCTCAAAGGCCTCAAGGCCCAACAAGCAGAGTTACGAAAGAGGAAATCTCCTGGGGGCGCGCGCGATTCACGCGTGACCCCATTAGAGCTCTTCGCGCACGCAGCATCGTTTCAGTACCTTTCTGCTGGGATGGACCAAATAAATTTGCAGTAGTCCACGGCTTCACCATGAATAGAGCAAATCTCTTTACTATGGCATAAAAGCCCCTTCGAGATTGAGAATTCACCTCATAGGTTAACAATTCTCTTGTCAAACGTTCATAATGAGAATCTTCAAGTTTTCTGATCCTAATGAATGCAATCCTTCTGTAAACGTGCATAGTTGGTCATTTCTTTACTTATTCTACTTATAGTTCTTATTTCTTCCGTTACGATGGTAGGCATGATGTTTTAACGAGTTTTGTCCGGTGACCTCATTATATTGACGCGTGAATCGCACCACCCCAATCTCCTGTCATCAAGGCCTTCCCGCTTAGAAACCCCAAAATAACGTGCTATAGAGCGAACCCGCGACGCAACCGCTCGCACGTAGGGTTTGTCTGATTTTGTTGTTTGTTCTTCTGCGAATAGGTGCTGCAGTATAGCTCACGAGCTCGTGAGCTTCCGCATTAATCCACTTGATAACTCTTATGATAACTTTAATTGTCATCGAGAGTGTAATTCAGAATCTGGTTTGTGGGCTTATTCATGTTATCGTCAAGAAATCATCGTATTGTTATGAAATTCAAAGCATTGTCCAAGTCGAATCAGGTAGATCAGACGAGGTGTATCAATCAGTATGAAGTTTCTGTTTTTAATTTTGAAAGCATTTCACCGCATGGCGATGGAACTCGGGCTGATTTTGATGGTATGGTATACGAGGAAGTCCATTATTGCGGTTCATATGTCGCAGTATTATCCGAAAATATAGCAGAAGCAGTGAAGGTTAAACCAAGGGAGGGGTGAAGAAGTTGTGATAGAGTCAAGTAGAACCTCGCCGAGTCGAGGTGGCCATAGAAGTTGCTGTATTCAAATGGTATCGATTAACGAAGGCCCTGGCGTGGCACTAGTGAGGAAAAAAAAGATTTATCGTTCTTAGTCGTTTGGAGTCGAGAATAAGAAGTGTATGAAGTGCGAACCTCGCAGCCCATAGCGGAAAGGCCTGATGCGACCATATTGACGCGTTTGTCCACAGTTGCGAATGATCGCCAATGATAACTACCCATCTCCCACTGCAAAATTTGAAATTGTTCGATCTACCAAATTTCGAGAAGCTTTTAACCATCGGAGTAAACAAATGAAAACCTTCTCAAAAATCTTGCCACTCTTTTGTTTCTCCTTGTGGATTGATAGCACTTCACGCGTACCAAGGCAATCAAGATCTCCATACCTCCTGCAAAGGCCTTTATATAGTCAGTTAGTTGAAAGCGCACTTCAGTTGAAAATAGTTTCTCGGATTTCTCTTTAGGGTTAACAACCTGCGACCCTTAAGGAGAGCACAAGGGACGCTTTCAGGCCGAAAAACGGCTTAAGTAGGGCGTAATAAGGGCCCGAAGACTGGCTTAGCCAACGTACACACCCAAGGCGGACGAGTGGTTAAGCATTGTAAAAGCTGTAGAGGTGGCACCATACGCTCCGAGACCCACGCGTTGCACGCAGACAGCTTGCTGTACCCAGCTTTATGCAATGGCCCATACGATTGAGCGGCTCGTCCGAATATCTCTACCGTACAACTTTTATGATCACATTCGCCTCTAACCCCTAATTTTTCTAATTTTTGGAAGTAATTCTCAATCAATCATCATAATTCTCTAAATAAATTGAGTCTTTCTTCGCCACTTAAGCCTACTCTCGACTATCACTTCCATTATTTGTCTAAAACGGAGTACTCAGAATTATCGTAATTTGGGCCTTTGAGATGAGCTTTCATAGAGCCTTGGGATGGACGAATATAAGGAACAATGTGTGCTGCAATAATCTTTCGCGATATGATGGACCACGTCAAAGAGTTCAACTGAAAATCGCAATTACACGAAAGGAGTACCAGTAACCCACTCGATCATAATAGAAGAATACGAGCCTCGATTGGACTCATCTTGAACTAGCACATACGCACACACAGTTCTTTCTAAAGTGTAAGAGAACAATAAGTTCGATCACGTTCCTACATGTTATGTTGTGTTTTTGTGCTGTCATGTTTATAGCTGCTGCGAACCTGCGCAGTACGGAAAATCGCGGTGACATTCTTCAACCAAGCAATGGTTTTAGCAAAATCCACAGTTTAGTGCGTAGCAGTCAAAATAGTTGGCAATTCAGAAAACGAAAGAAATTATGTTGGAAATCTCACTATATATAGTGAAATAGGAATCCATGAATGTGGAAAAAATATAGCGTAGACTTTATTCGTACCGTACACTTTCATTCCACTGCTCAGCGAGTGTATGGCACCCTTCAAATACACATGTTGCTAATTCTCCTTCTTTCACATTATTGTTTCTCCATGGGGAAGCGGGATCACCATCTTTGACCGGTGAGGCCTGAAAAAAAGCAAAAATAAACTAACGACTTTGATAGACCTCATGAACAACGTAAACATCAGTGGCGATGAATCCTTTGTTTTTTTTTTGTTTGAAGGCAGAAAGCTTGCAGAAGACACCGACAAGAAGGGTGTTATCGCTGGGGTAATTACTACATTAAAGGCACAGCTCACATCAGAAATGGTTACTAAAATTGCTCCAAAAGATGAACATATGATGCCGAAGGATACTGTCGGGTTGATAGACAATCAAGATAGTGCGTAATGAGGGTCATCGAAACCGGCTTAGCCGTTGTACACACCCAAGTTGTACGAGTTGATGAGCGTTGCAAAAGTTGTAGAGGTTGCACATTTCGCATCAGTACCCACCCAAGCAGCGTATAGGGGTGCGCTTTATTCAAGGGTCTGTCGAAACTAGGTCACGCCGCAGCCGTCGCACGCGGCGCGATAGCCCGCGATTCTTGACAGACGTCGCAGTTGTCGGTGGGCATACGATTGTCCACGGCGGTTCATTCGTTCCACGGTTACATAGGGATACTGTAATGTCATTTCGAGGTCGCAGTGGGCTGCGCCGCGCGCGAAGTGGGCGGGGTGACCTAGTTTCGACGAAAGTTCCCCAGCGTAATACAACCAGCTGTATGCAATGGCGCGCGCTTTCGAATAGCTCGTGTTTTATACAATACATTCGCGTCTAACCCCTTATTTTACTAATTTTTTAAAGCCTTATACTTCTCCATATACGCTGATTTTCGCGCCTTCTTCGCTACTTTTGCACTATTCTGGAACATCACTTCCATTACTCGTTCGAAACGGGGTAACGTAAAAATATCGTGAGCTGTACCTTCAAGGCATCAGCATACTTCTACATCCCTGAAACCAGCAATTTTACGAGTGAATGTTGAAGAGCTTCCATTCAGATGACTGCGCTGGTCGTGCTTGCAATAAACACATGGTCAGCGGTTCTAGCAATACGATGTTTGATCGTCCGATCGAAATCGAACTGTGGCGCACATTGCAAAAAGTGCCAGAGATTGAAATGTAAATACTCACTTTCGATCTCTGTGACATGCGTAGTTTCTGCGATGGATCTGCCCATATTTTGAAAGGAATAAACACGATCAGATCGTATACAAAGAATACTATCTAAAAGGAAAGGATTTAGGTCTCTATATCGCTATTAATATTACAGATTTGACTTTTACTAACAACTGTTGGCCGTCCTGTGAAAGCTGGAGGGAATCCTATTCGATAAGAACTCTGAACTCCTACCTCGAAACACGTTCCCTCTATTCCCATACGGTGCCGAGATATTTTGTTAAGATGGTCACTATAGTGGCTTTAGCTTCTAGCGGGTTTTGGGTTCACTGAAAATCTCAAAAGCAGCAGAAGGTCTCCGCACTAAGATTTGCCAAGTTCGGCAAGCAGCATGTGTTCTGTTTTAGTAATAGGCAGCAGAAGTCTCAGGCATGAAAAAATAAAACTCTGTTCCTCGTTGCCACGACTAACTTTGAAGCTAATACTCGGGATTTCATTTTATACTAGCCCATTATTTGCAAACCACAATGCATTTTCCCCACCTGAAAGGGTTAACCAAACAAGTCCAGGGGTAGGAAAAAGCTGTAGCGTGATTACGAGGATTTCTATTATGCAAAACCTGCTGGGTGTTACTACGCAACAGCAACTGTCAGCGATCGGAACAGACCTACCTTGAGCAGAAATATTACAATTGATATGTACACTGGCTGGTTGTTTTTGTCGAGTTCTTCGTTGACTTCGATGTCTTCCATGACTGCAAAGTAAACGAATTGGACGACTGTTGGAATCGTTGAACATTTCCTTCACGTACTTTCGTACTCGAACTGTGTACTTTGGATATTGTGCCATCCAAAATATCACACAGCGAAAACTACGTCCTCCCGAGAGTAGACGGGAACAGTGAAAGTACATCAGCACGATATGTAACATGGGCAAAGCAAGTGCTTTTATGAGTGCTCTTATAAATACAAACGGTGTACTAGACAAGTGATAATCAAGAAGCAAAAATGGCTGAGGCTTCAACGAAGTGATTGGAGATTTCGGTTCAAAGAACGCATGGTAATCAGAAAGGCCTCATTATAACGAAATCAATAGGGCAACGCTTATGGCAACGATGTCAGACAGATTGTGCTGATAAAAGAAATGTAGATAGAAATAAGGCTACCAAGTCTGCACATGGTTCTGTCGCTGGCTGCGCATATAGTTCGAAAGCGCAGGTTTTTTAATTCCATACGTTGATCAGCAGATCACCCGAGGAACCAACGAAACATTCTTTTCTGCTCGAATCAAACATAGCCAGCAATATCAGTAAATAAAAGATAGTAAAAGAAGGGATTAAGGCCTAATGATGAATAGTTTCCGGTGAAAATGCAGTTGGGGGGTGCCTGGCACTTTTGTGCTCTGCGTCTCTTCATTTCTTACCCTATGTAATCATCTCACCCATCCCGGAGCTCCTCCCATTCTAAAAGTTAGGGAAGGAGCTCCGGGGTGGGTGAACCAATTGGATGTTCAATTCTTACCCCATCCCAGTTTTTTGCAAAAGATTATCATCTCTCCTACCCCGGAGCTCCTCTCCCTTACTTTAGAAGGAGAGGAATCCATCTCTGCGATCTCTCTGCACTCAGCCGCCGATGTCAGAGACGCAGAGCACAAAAGGGCGCTGGCACCCCAACTACATTTTCACCTAGTTTCCTATATCCCCAAATCGAAGGAGCGTAGATTAGCACTCTAATGAGGGTTCATTACTTTTCTGGGATCCCATAGGGCGAACTCGCCGAATGCATTTTGAACCTAAGCGATGCTTACTTAATACACACAAAATTGACGAAATTGACTGAATAGTGGCCGCAAACACCAAATCAGTGATTATATAACTCGAAGTGATCAGACATGATGAATTAGGAAATACGTACAGCAAATAATCGACAGCTATACAATATATGTCGATTAGTTGCTCTCGTTCTGGACCAATTGTAAGGACTTGATTATAATCAGTTGCCGATTCCTAGATTCATAACGGTTGAATGAGCATGAAAGGAAGTTGACAAAAAGCAAGGAGATAAGTTTGTTGATTGTTGAAAGAGGTGAGATAGCTATGCAGTGTTGGTTGCTCAGATTTTGAAGATATTAATAACAGGAAACGATAGCCTTGAATAAATCCAGGACAATCAGAAAAAAGTTCGATCTACCGGAAACTATGGGAGAGCGTGTTTTACTCTTATTACGCACTGTTTAACGGTAATATCAAATAGCTTGAGAGCATGAGGTTGTGCCAACACAATTCTGTGTCCATGGTCGCAATCGCAATTCGTACACACTCGAATGCCACTAAGATTCAGAATGGAAGTCGAGCGCGTTGAGACATAATAAAATTATCTTGATTGTATTGAGTTTAGTTGAAGTAACATCATTAAAACAAAAAACTTTATCCCTATTTCCAAAAAACACAGCACATTTTACGGCGATGGTGATGTTCAATGAAGTTTGCACTGAAAGGGTCGCGCTCACACGCCCAACATTAAAAAGGGTAGGGTTAGACACATTTGAGGAGAAGTGTAAGCCTGACATCGGACGAGCGGGATGAGCAGAAAAACCTATCCGCGTAAGGATTATCTTGTTGATCAGAAGGAAAGGTGAGATGAACACAGGACTCTCGGCTTTCCACGAAGTGGCTGAAGAGCTCCCGCAGTCCGGACACCGAACATACTATATCGTTTTCTACAGATACAACGGAAACTTTTTCTAATTAACTTTCCAAATTTCCCCAACACTAATTTTCCTTTATTTGTTGATGGACTCGTCTGGAGGATAAAAGCAATAGCTGTACGTAGACCACTTCCCAATGAGTGGCCCTATACCAGCTCATGTTATCTACCCCCTGGCACCACAAATTTGTTTGAGCTGGTTCCGGATAGACTGCGATTTTCTCTTTGGCACCTATGACGCGATGAGCGAACAAGCATTACTCAGAGGCTCTTCCTGCTTACATAGGAGAAAAGCAAGGATCTCAAATTTATGCTTTCTATTTTTCAGAAATGGAAGAAATAAAATAAGACCCGAAAGCATTACGGAATTGTTTTACTCGATCTGCAATGAAAAGCGTCCAGTTAACGAAAGCAGCGCAACTTTCAAATAAGTTGGACTTTGTGTGGTGATCACTGCAGCTGTTTTGAAGGGATTCCATAAGGGACACTTAATCTCGAAGTGTATTTCTACTTCCCTCTCATCCCTCGCGTTCTTTTGCGCGACCTCTTGTTAGCAATTGGTACGAGCACTGGGAAGGATGCGCAGAGCCAAAGAGCGCTTTACCACTTCACGGGGCAAAAGTCGAACCGGCTATATAGGTATTTAGATCATCTAGCCTACCCATCCCTCCGAGCCGCTTTATTGGTGAGGACTGGTCTGAGATAATGAAAGGACTGGCTGGGACAGCGGCTGGCCCGCAAACCATTATAAAGGTCAAATACGCATTCAAGAAGGCACATCTAATTTAAATGGAAGTCGGATGTGTGAGTGCAACCCGAAAATAAGGTTGAAGTAACTCTAATAGGTTTATCATTGTTTTTGCGTTCAAAATGTGATGTTTTTGGATTTCCAGTGCAATTACAATCTTCACGTGACCTGGAATCGAAGTAATCAACAGGAAATAATATTGTCTGTTTACGAAAGTTACCAGTCAATAGGCGAATGGCTTGAACGTCAACGGATATTGCACAATGACAGTCCAAGGAAAGAGATTGATCTTAAGATATCCTTAATTTTTTAATGCCACACGAAATCATCTGATGCCAAATACTTTAAAGGGTCCGTGGTTGGGAGGGAGGCAGCGATTTTTCTTGCGAACTTGTTGTGGATCACAACTGGTCTAGCGAGCTATTTTGGGCAATACTTTTGATAAGCACCTCTTGAGGCGGTACCAAGGCATAATCCATCGTTATCTTATGTGTGCAATGAAGTAGGTAACCTGAGCATTGTTGTTGGCGCTCGTACCTCGTCGCTTTGCAGTACCCATACAGCGGTGAGCCAATTTAGATCCAAGCCTGCCCTTTCTCGCACAGTCGCTCTCTTGTGGGTTGACCTTCCTCAACTTGTTGGCTGGTGACCTCGCTGTCAAACCCCTAGGCTCACGTGTAACAATATTACATTCAAAGCATGAGAAATAAAAAATAAAGCAAAACAAAAAATATGAAACACATAAATAATGCTACACACAAAGCTGTGGAGGCTAAAGTAAACATTGGGAAAATGATAGAAGAGGAGGAAAGAATTCACCGCATTGTGCAAGCATTCATTCTCACAGGATGCCTGCAAGCAAACTAGTTAACAGAGTGGCCCGCACTTTTAATTTCATTACAATGATAATAATAATAATAATAATAATAATAATAATAATAACAATAACAATAATAATAATAATAAACTTATCAATTCATAAATTCAATGTCAGTACACTGAGACTGCCAGCCAACCACTTAAGAGAGGTCACCACCCAGGCGAGTGAGTGGATGTGCGAGGAAGGTGCGGAGTAAGGAGATTTGGACTTAAATGCTGGCTCCTATGCAGTAAATTAACGATACGGTATCTGGGCATCGCCCACACCTATATGTATATAAGCTTGCAGGTATATTATGGTCGGTTACTATGTACGTCGTAATAATAGTGTACTGTACAGTCCATTAGTCACCTACCAAAGAGCTTTTGAAATTTCTTCCTACGTTCCAGAACAGGCTCTACCATTTACGTTTTTTCAACGGAACACAACGTTAGGACACGAGGACTCAGTACTAGACCAGAATTACGGCTGGGTAAGTTCATGTTGCGATAAGGAAGCGACAAAATCATTCAGTATCGCTATCAATGACATGCAATGACAGTGTTGTCCCACTACAGAAACATGAAGAAGTATTCACCAGCATGTTGATGTCTATATCCATGTGTTCTATTTTGACGTAATCTTGAGACATCTCTAGCACTACTTCGGTACAAAACACTTCCAATTTCTAGAAGTGTGACTGCTTCTAAGCAAAATTTCTATGAACACAAGGTCTGGTCTATTCAATGAGATAAATACATAGCTGCAGACAACCATGGTATAGAGCTGTTTGAAAACTACATAGCTCTGCTAAATGGAACTTGACAACCAAGATTTTGAAATAAAGGATAGCTGATCCATGGTGTATTCCTGGTTGCTTAATATGTTAAGAAGAAAAACAGCAGGACAGCAAATCATGATTGTTCGTCGTTCACTTCTTGCGTATGCTCACATCTCGGCATCACTACGAACACACCCCACATCACGCTACTATTACACACAGTAAACATATAGCAATCGATTCTCTAGTTCGAAAATGACTGCGGATCGTCATTGAAGGACGATCCCGAGCAGTATAGGGCTCTCGACGACACTCCGTCATTTTCTGATCACGTGAAAAGCGCGTGTCCAGTGGTAGACAGATCGTGTATTTGTATTAATGTTGAGTGCTCAACGTTGAATACGTAATTCATTAGCTAAATATGAGGTGTACGCGACATCGGAAGGCGACCAGACAACACGTTGATCAACAGATACAACTGGTAAGGGAACTATTCAATGTGATCAGTACGGTAGAATAAGAACGTCACGGAGGAAGCGAGGCCCCCGACTGTGAAAACAAAAAGGGCACGTGCAGTGGTAAAACGGGTTGAAGACCCACCCACATTGTAGTCTCTCGTACACTGTAAAGAGAAAAGAATTCAAAACTAAAACGAATAC